TGTTTCTCCGATGCCTCAAGTTCGATGCGGTGGCATCCTCTCCAAGATCGTGGCAATTCGTAGTTTTGCCTGGTCACAGATTGCGGATCGATGGTTTCTCCGACGTTGCATTTGCCTGGCTTTTGTGTCGAGATTACACTATCACTTGCTGATTCTGCGTTGGACATGCGATGGAGGTTTCCGGGCTATTGCTTTTGTCTTATTATGTTGGTTTTGTAGCAGTTTCGATTGTAATTTGCAACATATTTTGTGGTGTTTTTCTCGATGGTAGTGTAGGCAGTGTTAATGTGCGGTGGTGGCGGCAAGTTTATGGATTTTTTGGTAGAGGTGATGGTTGTGGTGTTGTGTAGATAGAGATAGAAGAGATGGCTATAGCAATGGTGATGTGTTGTGTGCGCGGTAGTGGTGTGGTGGTTTTGCGGGTGCTGTGGTGGTGAGGCAGGGGTTCTGGATGCGATTTGTGATTAATTATTTGGGTGTGGTGGTGTTAGATTGGTGGTGGGATGGCTTTTGTAGGTGGAGGAGGTGATAGTGGTGAATTTGGCATGAATGTGTTGATGGGTGGTGGTTTTGTAGTTGAAAATGGTGGTATGTTGGTGGTTGTGGTGGTGGTAGATCTAGCGCAACGATTTGGTGGAGTTTTTCTGCAGTGTGTTAGATTTGTTGTAGGTGATGGTAGTTCCAACGACGACAGCGGCGTTGGTGCTGTTGATGCAATGGTGAGGTGATGGTCACAATCAGAAGTGTTGGTGGTGCTCACAAATTATTTGGTAAACTGTAATTATTAAATTGGTTAATTTATGACCAATAAACAATATGTGACAATGAAAAAGATTAATTGTCATCAAGAAATAACGTGTGACCTGAAAAATTATTAATTTATAATCTGTACTTTGATAATTTGTGATTGTCTAATAAGTTCTGACCTATAATGTTCGTGAACTGTGACCAATAAAGAAATTTTGACGTAGAAATTTTTTATCATCGATGAACTGATTGTGACATAAAATTTTTGAATTGTGACCGTAAAATAATTTAACATAAAAATTTTGATTTGTGATCGAAAAATAATATGTGATTAACTAAATTTATGAATTTGTGACCAAATTGGATAGATCTATGACCTTAATATATTTAACTAGTAAAATATATAATTAATTAATTAAATCATAAATAAATTTTAATAAATATCTGATTTTTAAAATTTGAAGCCTTTATTCTTAATTTTGAAATATGTGATAATTAACCTCTTCTTTATGAATTTTTTCCTAAAAATATTTTGGGCTCAATTAATTAGTTGACAAATTTATTTAAAAAAATTAAAATAATTTGGCTTATTTAATATAAAAAAAAATTAGGGAGATCTAGTTTTAAATTTAGAATTGAGAATCGAATTAAACATGTCGGTTCTTGATTTTGACATCCCATTCTGGTATTTATCTAAAGAAGAATCAAATCGAACCGTTCGATTCGAGAGTGTTTTCTAGTCCTACGGGTATCAAATTAATATTGTACATCCAGTTTAATCTTACAAAAGGCATCGAATGGAAGAAAGAAACATATTATAATATAATGAAGTCAGCAACGACTTGCATACAAAACTTGGGATCGAGATTGAGACATCATTGAAATTATTGACATAAGAAACACAACTTTACAGCTCTACTGGTGACAGACATGCAGACTGATTTCCCCAGTCTAGGAAAGATGAACACAAGACAAGATACTGCCTTGGTTATAGTTCCTCTGTTTTGATAGCATCGAAGACTTGGAAATCAATTTTCTTACCAGTACCAACCTTTGGCATCATCGTTTGCCAAACCAAGCGTGCCATGTTTACATTATGTTTATAACTTATCAGCTTTATGCATACTCCAGTTAAAAATGTTGTTAGCGTTGGAATAATTCATTTCTTTAGGACGTGGGATACTGCTATATACTCATGGAGGCTATTCATGCATTTGGGAGCACTTGTGTCACATGTTAATTGAACTAATGATACTTTGAATTTTATCAGATCCAAGAGAACCCGTAAAGCAGCAAAGAGCTTGCAAGAAGACTTATTTGATCAATTGGATGATGAACCACTTGACTTGCTTGATCAGAAAAAGACGAAGTTTGCTTTGCGATCATCAGAGATAATGAAAAAGAAGACCGATTCCGATGATGAGCTAGAGATAGACCCCGAAGGGCGTGTAATTATTCGTGAGGAAGGTTGGGAAAAGAAGGGAGGTAGGTCCCACAAGCAAGAGACACCTTATGACACCGAGGCGGACGAAGTAAGAAGCAGCTTGTCTGCAAATTCACGAAAAACACAAAAGCGCCGGAAGACAACAGAGTCTGGGTGGGCGTATACAGGTAGTGAGTATGCAAGCAAGAAGGCACGTGGTGATGTGAACAGGAAGGACAAGCTTGAACCTTATGCCTATTGGCCACTTGACCGAAAAATGATGAGTCGCAGGCCAGAGCAACGTGCAGCTGCTAGGAAAGGTATGGCAAGTGTCGTAAAGCTAACAAAGAGGTTAGAAGGAAGAAGTGTCTCAAATGCACTTTCTATGAAGGGAGTTAAGTTAAAGAAGGGCAAAAAGAAAGGGAACCAAAAGAAAAGTTGAAGTTAACTGTCTTGTAGATCAGACAGGAAATCTGCAATTGAGGCCATTGAAGTTCCATAGAGCTGCTTAAATTTTTATCCAGTGAGTATGTTTCTGGGTTGGCCAGGAGTGACTTATTTCTACTCTTTTAGGTAATTATGTCTTGCCTTAAACGGTACTTCTTTTCTGTACTAAAATATCAAAGTGAAGATATTATTTATCATTCTTTCGACCTATAAAGCTTGGTCTTTTGTTACTTTAGTTTAATTCATCGAGCACGCTTCGTGTAAAAATTATAAATACATGTGAATGGAATGTTGAAAACATTGTCTTCTCCATATTATTGTCTCACGAGTCGGTAGTTGCACCAGCCAAAGGGTATTCCTAGGTCACAACGGGTGAGCATAATATTAGACTTGCCTGTTATGTTAATGGCTGATGGCTTGAGTTGAACACTCGAATGGCATAACAAAACCATTGAAAACGCGTATCAAATTAATATTGGTGCGTCTTCTCTTGTTTACTTATTAGATTGTGTTTTAAGTTACATGAAGACTCATCCACTAATTGCAAATGTGTGTCTAGCGGGACATGATTTAGTTTAGGATCGATTCTAAAGAAAATCAAATCAAACTAGAATGAAAACAGGAAAATAATGTGGAAATTATAATGCACCCCACTTTTAAAGATTTGTGTCCTAAAATGAGGTGGGAAGTTTCACTTCTCACAAATTAGATGATTCATATTTATATTTTAAATATTAAATATACAATTTTCATCCGAAATCTAATCAATTTTCCCCCGTCTCTATATCTCGCTTCTCCCCTTTTCTCTCTATCCCCACGTTTCCGGTGTTGTGCTCACACGACGCTGTCAGTGCTGCGTGAGCGCAATGGGCGACGACCCCTCACGCTCTGAGATCTGGATGTCACTACATTGGTGGTGCTATTGCTCATGATGCCTGTAGTGCTTTGAGATGCCTGTTGCTTGACGTCACTGTCGTCGGTGGTGACTACCTTCACTCCCAACAACTGTTTCTCCGATGCCTCAAGTTCGATGCGGTGGCATCCTCTCCAAGATCGTGGCAATTCGTAGTTTTGCCTGGTCACAGATTGTGGATCGATGGTTTCTCCGACGTTGCATTTGCCTGGCTTTTGTGTCGAGATTACACTATCACTTGCTGATTCTGCGTTGGACAGGCGATGGAGGTTTCCGGGCTATTGCTTTTGTCTTATTATGTTGGTTTTGTAGCAGTTTCGATTGTGATTTGCAACATATTTTGTGGTGTTTTTCTCGATGGTAGTGTAGGCAGTGTTAATGTGCGGTGGTGGCGGCAAGTTTATGGATTTTTTGGTAGAGGTGATGGTTGTGGTGTTGTGTAGATAGAGATAGAAGAGATGGCTATAGCAATGGTGATGTGTTGTGTGCGCGGTAGTGGTGTGGTGGTTTTGCGGGTGCTGTGGTGGTGAGGCAGGGGTTCTGGATGCGATTTGTGATTAATTATTTGGGTGTGGTGGTGTTAGATTGGTGGTGGGATGGCTTTTGTAGGTGGAGGAGGTGATAGTGGTGAATTTGGCATGAATGTGTTGATGGGTGGTGGTTTTGTAGTTGAAAATGGTGGTATGTTGGTGGTTGTGGTGGTGGTAGATCTAGCGCAACGATTTGGTGGAGTTTTTCTGCAGTGTGTTAGATTTGTTGTAGGTGATGGTAGTTCCGACGATGACAGCGGCATTGGTGCTGTTGATGCAATGGTGAGGTGATGGTCACAAGCATAAGTGTTGGTGGTGCTCACAAATTATTTGGTAAACTGTAATTATTAAATTGGTTAATTTATGACCAATAAACAATATGTGACAATGAAAAAGATTAATTGTCATCAAGAAATAACGTGTGACCTGAAAAATTATTAATTTATAATCTGTACTTTGATAATTTGTGATTGTCTAATAAGTTCTGACCTATAATGTTCGTGAACTGTGACCAATAAAGAAATTTTGACGTATAAATTTTTTATCATCGATGAACTGATTTTGACATAAAATTTTTGAATTGTGACCGTAAAATAATTTAACATAAAAATTTTGATTTGTGATCGAAAAATAATATGTGATTAACTAAATTTATGAATTTGTGACCAAATTGGATAGATCTATGACCTTAATATATTTAACTAGTAAAATATATAATTAATTAATTAAATCATAAATAAATTTTAATAAATATCTGATTTTTAAAATTTGAAGCCTTTATTCTTAATTTTGAAATATGTGATAATTAACCTCTTCTTTATGAATTTTTTCCTAAAAATATTTTGGGCTCAATTAATTAGTTGACAAATTTATTTAAAAAAATTAAAATAATTTGGCTTATTTAATATAAAAAAAAATTAGGGAGATCTAGTTTTAAATTTAGAATTGAGAATCGAATTAAACATGTCGGTTCTTGATTTTGACATCCCATTCTGGTATTTATCTAAAGAAGAATCAAATCGAACCGTTCGATTCGAGAGTGTTTTCTAGTCCTACGGGTATCAAATTAATATTGTACATCCAGTTTAATCTTACAAAAGGCATCGAATGGAAGAAAGAAACATATTATAATATAATGAAGTCAGCAACGACTTGCATACAAAACTTGGGATCGAGATTGAGACATCATTGAAATTATTGACATAAGAAACACAACTTTACAGCTCTACTGGTGACAGACATGCAGACTGATTTCCCCAGTCTAGGAAAGATGAACACAAGACAAGATACTGCCTTGGTTATAGTTCCTCTGTTTTGATAGCATCGAAGACTTAGAAATCAATTTTCTTACCAGTACCAACCTTTGGCATCATCGTTTGCCAAACCAAGCGTGCCATAAAGATCTACTTGTATGGAGCAAATAAGATCGAGGAATTGTGGCCGCCGAATCCAAATGAATTGGATAATGCCACCTTAATGTCCAGTTTTTCTTTCTTTGGTCCCACCAGCACATTTGTATCCTGAATTAATGGGTGATCATCAGTAAATGGCTCAATTTTACTTGCATAAACCTACACTAGCAAAAGCAAGAAACCAGTAAAGGTTCAAAATGAATTATATCAACATGTTCAGTTGCATTCTTTTAGCTCTATCAATTCTCCTGATAATACAGTGTTCTACCATTTAAGCCATGTTTAATGAATGGCTGAAAGAACATATTTCTTTCTTCCCAAGTGAATAACTGGTAAAAGCATTGCAACACACTAAAATTATTCCTTATGCACATGAAACCACTGAAAAGGAATGAAACAAAAGATCGTACCACACCATCGTCTGGAGTCTCAAGATTGATATTTGGATGAACCCAGCCTGTCCGTATTGCCTACAAAGAGACAAAGCTCAGTGAAATAGTCGAGCACGATGCTAAATTTACTTCATAGGGTATATCCCATTAATCAACACATTCAACATTAGTGTCCTTAATAATCGAGAACCATGAAGGGATCTGTGCAAATTATGATCGTGGCTCATTTGGATCTAATAACTTCACTGGATAAAGAAATTGCACAAAAAGTAGTTGTAAGATTTGACTCCCGTTTACTAGAACCATGTTACTTATACAAATGGGACACCTGAAGGAACAGAACCAGAAACAGTGGTTAAATTCGCAGGGACATTTGAAGGAACGGACTGGCAACGACAATAACAAGGCTTCAGCTTGTCAGTGCACTGATTCAAAATGTTAATCACTTCCTAGAAGACAGAACCAATGTTTTCAGAAAATGAAAGACAGGAGCTAACCACTTGTTTGTTTAATTTGGTTTCTTCACCAGGCCTGTTTAGCTTGTTCTCTTTGTTTTATTGTTCGGCACGTTTCGCTTAGTTACTCTTTTGTCGGTTAGCATGTTCAGCTGTTTGTTTTTGGAGTAGTGTAAATGATCGAGGCTGTAACCACAATATTCTTCCCCCACAAGTAAATGTTTTATTAAGAAAATTTTGGAGGTACTGTCCTCCTTGGACGAAGAAAAAAAAGAAGATAACTTTACAACTTTCCTATAAATGTGTACCTTAATTTGAACCTACCAGCCTCAACAGTTGCAAACCAGTTTCTCATAGCAAAATGAAACATTTTACAGGGTTGCAGACAATTTTTGTTCATGGACAAATATCAAGATGCCATGCAAAATGCAAATCATCTATACTGCGAAGACAGAGCCTTAAAAGAATGTTTATGCAAATGCCTGATTCAAAGATGTACAGTGATTTTCTAGTGACTTCTGCAAACAAAATAAGCATGCCAAGAACCTGCACAGTTGCAACAGCCTCCACAGCACCAGCTGCTCCAAGCAGGTGACCAATCATAGATTTTGTAGAGTTCACTCGCAACTGCAAACACATAGAACAACCCAGAATTTTTATCAGGAACCTAAGAAAATTAAGTATAATTACTATGCAGACAAGAAAGAGTTCTTGTCATTATTTGGAAACCTCTTGATTCTGCCCAAAACATCGGACAAGAGCTTGATACTCCTTGAGATCACCAGCTGGGGTGGATGTCGCGTGTGCATTTATATAGTTTACATCTTCTTTGCGTACTCCCAATTGGGCTAGAGCCTTCTCTATGCAGAGAATGACACCAGTTCCTGCTTATAGAAGCGTTCAGAGAGTTAAAATTATCTCAGTAAATTGCAATAAACAACATCACACATTTTGAATTTTTCATGGATATGAAGTATGACGACTGATCTTCGTGGAAACAGTTGGATATCAGAAGATTATATATAAACTATTAGAATAAATACAGCGCAATCCAATGCAATAACAATATATTTAAAACAAGAAAATGTGTCTAGCCACTTATGGGCACAAACAGAATGAAAATGGGCTGTAACAGAAAAGAAAATAATGAATCTTATTTTCTATGTAATGCATTTGTTTCTTTTGATAAGTTGAATAGAAAAATTCTGATATTCTATAGCATGCATCGCCATTTTTTCCTTTGGAGCAGGGGTTGGAGGAGGTAACCAAGAGAGAGAAAGAGCGAGGGAAGGAGTTTGTGGCATGAATCTTTGTTGCCGATTCTCCATAATTGAAAGATTCGGCAAGTACTCAAAATAAACCATCTTGCTGTTGGCTGTCATGTTTCCTGATACTTTTGAGATTTCCTAAACGCGATGCTTTTGTGGTGTCTTCATAGCAATTGGTATATGCTTTGATCTAGATTTACATCATTTCACGCACCCACAATTTTCAGCTTCCAACTTACAAAATTTTGGTTCAAGATTGGGAGGCTTTGGCAAGCAGAGCACTTTCACAGAGAAATTGTGATCCTACCAAAGTTTCACATCCCTGAGATATCATAATAAGCTCTAGATATTCTTTTACTTCTTGATCTTTAAGGTAACTGATACTGATGGAGATAGAGATAGAATTTATATAGAATTTTAAAATAGAGTTCAATTCAAATTATGTTCATTTATATTAGATTATATAAGTTTTAATAATTTGATAAAGTTCTAGTTTATTAAATATTCTTTTGATTTTAATTTCTTTGTTCTTTATAAAGAAAGCCTATTCATTGTATTAGGTACCGTTAAATACATGAATAAATTGTCTCAAATTCTTCTTGTTCTTGAAATCCATTTTTCTTTATTGTTCGTTGTCAGTTTGTTAGTCATTCGTCAATTAGGTATCACAGCAAGTTGTTTTCCTTTGGCCAAACAATTCTTTCATTCTTGAATCCAAAATCAACATCCCAACCATATACTTCCAAATCATACACATAACTAAGCAAGCAACCAGAATACAAAATTCCAGGAGCAGAATAATCAAGCAGCAGTAAGAGTTGTTCCCCTTTTTTTCCTTTTTACGTTCCAGTTTCAGGAAAAAAAAGGTGGAAAAAAATAAAGCAGAAACGGAAGTTTTTGCTACAATTTACATGATCTGTAATCTATTTCTGCCGCTCATGAGAATTCAATTGAAGCAGTCCACCATCACCAGTGTACTCCTCAACCGTAGCCGTGCTATCTCGAAGCTGATAAATGAGACACTATTGTGCTCTTTTAAGTTTCATAAGGTGCCAATTTCTTTTATATTAGAAGTCTGTGTTTTGGCTTGTCAACTTTAAGGTGTGTGTACCTGTGTACTTTTCAACCAGATTCATAAGGTACCAATTATTAATAGCGCCCCAGTTATCAGATTCAGGATGGCACGGCTTTCTTTTATATTAGAAATCCATGTATTGGCTTGTCAACTTTACCCAAAATCCAAACCGTGTAAGTTTTAATGATCTGTCAGGGGAGAAAAGTGGCAGCATTAAGGTGATTGATGGTTTGTATTAATATTACCATGGATGATCTTATTAGGAGTAGACTTGCTCAAACTGAAAAAAGGTAGTAGAACTTTTTATTTTAATGAAGATCAAATAATGTTATAGCATTATAATTTAGACCATCCAAGCTCCCCACATTTAAAATTGTTTGTCAAACCATTTGATCTAAAAGTTTAAACATTTAAATAATGTCTATAACACGTCCCCTCATGTATGGCAGCAGGGGTGGATCTTTGCGGGGGGACGGGGGTTTACAGGGCCAAGTGACCCTCTAGATTTTGGAAAAAAAAATAAAAAATAAAATTGTTTAGCAATTTTTTTTTTTTTTTTTAATTAGGAGGTACCCTATAAATTTTATTTGTAACCCCCTAACCAAGTCGTCTGGGTCCGTTGCTGTATGACTGGATTTTCCCTTCAAAGTCTTATGTGTTCACGATTTCATTTAAATGAGTGTCCCTCAGAAAAGTGCATGACCTTTGTGTGCTTTGATTATAACAACCCAAATTCACTTTACCCATTGCCAATTTTACATTTGGGTCTTTCAGTAAAAAATTTGAAACTTGACTAATCTAATTGATTATTGGCCAAGAGAACCTTACATGTAAGAACCTTAAAAGAACATGGTATCTTAGTAGAAATGATTACTTAACATGGGTAGGTAGGATAATACGTCCATGTTAATTGTCAAATATTGTAGGCTCATGTCAGCGGTGGGTAAGATATCTCCTACCCACCATAGGTAGGAGATTATTTCTGTATATATTAGTGTAAGCAATATGAATTTGAGATATGTATATAAACACGTGTTATAGCAATATGAATTTTCGTGTCATATTTGAATTTGAACATCATTACTGCTAGCCTGTGAACTCCAAGAAGATATTGACAACCAGAATTATTTATATAAATGATAGGAAGTTCAATAGAGACATGAGATTTCAATCCACTTATCCTTGTCATTAAAATATATATTAGATTGGCAAATTTGCAAACTAAGAACGTTAATTTATCTGAACGTTGCAGATGAATCATTAGGCCATAAGAAAAAGAGGGATGATACCTTCTGGATGAGGCTCTGTCATGTGATAAGCATCACAAGTGAAACTTCCACCAAGAAACTCAGCATAAATATTTGCACCTCTTTTCTGCTTATCCAGAATATGAATGGAAAAGACGTTTTGGAGGATAAATTAGCCTACAAGTCATAAAAAACAGAAGAGAAAAGCATACTTGCATAAATTGGGGTTGTAGAATACCTTGGCATGTTCAAGTTCTTCCAGAAGCAATACTCCAGCCCCTTCTCCCATAACAAATCCATCACGGTTCTGTCAAAGGTCAATAATTCAATTATAGGGGACGTCCGAGCTTATTTCGGTTCATTAAAGATCATATGCAAGCACAAGCATGTTTCTCTTCCAAAAATCGGACTAATCATCGTTTCCAATTTAGCACCGGTGGAACACATTTTCTGATGCTAATAAAAGTGATGGCACGGGAGATTATTACACTATCCCAGGGACGTGAAGCTTTAGTAGGATCACAGTTTCTCTGCGAAAGTGCTCTGCATGCCACAAAACCTCCCAATCCTGAATCAAAAATTATGATTCGGAAACTGAAAGTTTCGGGTGTATGAAATGATAAAAATCTAGAACAAGGCATATACCAATTGGTATGATTGCTGCATCTGAGCCACCGCAAAGCATCATGTCCTGGAAAATCCAAAGTGTCAGGAAACATGACAATCAACTATAAGATGGTTTACTTTTGGGCACTTGTAAGTTGATTCTTCAAACAAGAAACAGATTAGATATGGTACAGTAAGAACTTATAATGAAAATGGAAGGACACTCACAGCTTCACCTCTAATTATGTGGTTAGCAGCACTCAGTATACAGAAGTTGCTTGTTGCACAGGCAGTCGATATTGAGTAGTTTGGGCCCATCCATCCCTGCAATATAATAGCAACTATGTCTCAGAAGGATTCAACGGGTTATTGATTGCTCAAGTTGCAACTGTGAAAAAATGGAATTTCTTAACCAGAGCCGTAGCAAGAATTGCAGAGCCCATGTTGGTAATTGCAAAAGGTACACAAAATGGATTCATCTTCCTATATGAAATACGCAGAGCTTCAATTCCATCTTCCAAAACCTTCATCCCGCCCATAGCTGATCCAATCAAAACGCCGCATCTAGCTTTATTTAATCCATCCATCACATCCATTGTAATTCCTCCATCAGCCAAGGCCTTCTTGCCTGCTGTGAGCATATAAAGCATGAACTTATCCAGTCTTTTAGAAAGTTTGGGTGCAACCCAACCATCTGTCGAGAAGGACTTGATCTCTCCGGCTATTCTCTGTGATAAGAGACCTTAAAGTAAACATCGAAACCAGTTGCGTCCAAAAAAATAAAGGGATATCACAAGCAAGACATACTGTTGGAAACTGGGAACAATTGAAAGCCTCTATCTCACTAATGCCACTAACACCTTCAAGCAGGTTGCTGTAAAATGCATCAGGATCACGACCAATTGATGTCTCCAAACCCATACCCGTGACAACCACTTGCCTTTTGTTGGTTGGAGGTTTCTTCTTGGGTGCTACTTCCTTGGACGATTGCACAGGTATGTCCATTGTTTCTCCTATAATTAATGTGGGAGCCAATGAGTTCATCCCAAAACAAGAAATCAAAATAGTAGGTAGTAGAAATTCATCAAAATGGATAATTTCAATTTCATTTCAGTTACATGTCAAGAAACCCAAGACCCTGCAGATAAGGAATTCATGTGACCAAGCAAGTCTCCTAAATTAAAATTGGCATTGGCTAAGTAAGTCTGAACCACCCATAGACCCAACACAACACTCACTTTGTAAGAAATATAGTTGGGAAAAGAAAGGAAAGTGAACAACAACTTCCATGGACATGGACAAACCTAAAAGAACCCAACCTCACCCTTGAAGAACTTCTCCTTTCAATAGGAAAGGTTTCCAATAAGGATTGTCGCTTAAAAGCGGTTGATGATCCCTATTCAAGAGCTTGGTCCTAGCTTTTCGTTTTCATCTTAAGTTCTGTCCTTGCAAAGATATGAGGGCATTTTTGTACCCCCGGATGGATACGGATACAGGTGACCCAGATTGAGCTATTGATTTTCTTCGAAAAACAAAAGACTACACAGGTAACAGCAAATTAATTTCTCAGACATGAATGTGCAGTCACATGCTTAAATCCATTTCTTATCAGATAAAGAGGATAAACAACTTGGTTATGTTTCATTGATGTTTAATTTTGATGAAGGTGGTGTTGTATTCGACTTTGACGATAGTGCATGAGCCATTTCCTATAGAAAAACAAAATCAGGACCCAGAAAAGTTTCTGCTGCTTTTCTTCTCTAATATGAGAGTTAGTTGAAGAATTGACTCAACTGAAAACAGAGTAAAACCACTCTTCTAGATAATTAAACTTGTTAAGAATTCAAGAAAAATGAAGAAATTTCAAGAAAATGGAACTTCAGACTTCATGCGTACAAAATGAAGAGCAATCAATACACAAGCATTAATAAGTATTCATCCAACGACAAATAAATGAGCTCTGGTTCTTGAAAATCTAGTCTACAAAAGATTGAATAACACTAGAATAAAGAATAATTTTCTATATAATCAAACCCATCATAAGCTAATACAGACGCTCACCCAATTCTTTCAAATAAATTAAGAACAAAAGCAAGATGCCATGCATGAAATCAAAATATACCAGTATGAACAGCAGTAGGTTGATTGAGTTTCCTACGTCTGCGATTCAGGGGAACAGTCGTCGATCCATACCCAAAGAAACAGTCGGAAGAGAAAAAACTACCATTAGAAGATTTATAAAACTGGTTGCATGGCTCGGAGGCCAAGCAAGAAGTCACAAGATTACTAATGCCAGAGAACTCCGACGCAAATTTAACCAGGACCCTCTTCCTCCGGCGCGAAGCACATTTGCTCAACCTCGAGGACATCGACGAAGACGATAAAAATGGGATGCCCATGGACGAGTCTTGTTGACAAGAGATTGACATGCATGCCGCCATTAGCCACGAGCAAACCGCTGATGACTCCCCCATCACCCCCAAATTCCCCAAGCAACCAGTACACAAAACGAAATTATCTTTGTATACGTGCCGTATATGTAGTGTGTGTGTTTCGGTTGAATTAATTTACTTGTACAAAGTTAGTTTACAAACGAAGTGTCTAGGCCATTGATTTCTATTGATTTGAAAAGCCGTTCTTGAAATAATTGGTTCAAATGTTGTCAACAAATAGTTTGTAAATTAAATTTGTCAACATAGTTTGTAAATAGCATAATTTTTTTGCGTTGGGCTCAAAATGAGGATGGTGAAAGTAATGAGAGGAAAGGTTCAACTCCAAATTCCAAAAAATATCATGTTTTCATGTTTCAAAAATATCATAGTTTGTACAAATAGCATAATTCTTTTGCGTGGGCTCAAAATGAGGATGGTGAAAGTAATGAGAGGAAAGGTTCAACTCCAAATTCCAAAAAATATCATATTTCCATGTTTTACTTCTTGTAAGATCACTCTCACACCGGCACTAAATGAATCTGAATTCTGAAGTTACAGAGAGAGAGGAAGCACAAGACAAGTCATGTCATCTTTTTGGATTTTGCAAGTAATTGAAGTCTGAGACGCAAGTTTTTTCCTTGTTAATTTCACATGAATATCAGAGTCGGTTCATCTCTGATGCATATATTAATTTAGCACATGTTTGGTTTAATTAAAAAGGGGAATTCACTTAAAATATCTAGTCAACAATAACTTCTGATAAATTCAATCTTACTACATGTGCATCCTGATTTACACCCACGCTTACTGAATTTTCACTTAGCACAATCTCACGTCATATGTCACATCTCACACATTTAGCCCCTATTTGACAACCCTTATAATAAGAAATTTGGGTAAAATGTATTTTCGAATAATAATTTTTGGGAGAATGTGTAGTTAAGAAAGAAGGAAGTTTTTTTGATTTAAGTGTAATATTATTTTATTGAGAAATGTGTGGTTGAAAAAAAGAGAGAAAAATGTATTAAAATTTTGAAGAGAATCAAACAAGGGCCTAATTCAACCATTATAACACTTCCATGTCATCAAGGTATCAACCAAAGTGTACAAATAGCTTAATCATGGTAAAATAGCCTACAGTCAATAATATTTGGTCAAGTAGCTTTTAGTCTATTTTATCATGTATTAAAAGTCTTAAATACCTTTCATTTAAAATGTTTCAAATGCCCAATTTCAAACCAAAATTTACCAAATCCCTCAAACATAAATTTCCACTTTTATTCTCACTTTTCATACACAATTTATAACCAATGACAAAATGACGTGTTGCTTTTCTAAATGACTGAGTGCCGTTTTAACTAATTGCATGTTTGTTCACTTTATTTTCCCTTACATCCGCATGAAAATTAATGAAAACACTATGTTTGGATTGAAATTGAGAGTCTGTGAATTAAAAGGGCATGCTATCATTGTAAACGAATTGACGACGCTTTAACTAATTTTGTATCCGTCGCTTTATATTCTCTCGTACCCAAATGAAATTGACGTAAATTTATAAATGTGTTTCACACTTATTTAGGCTACAAAATATGGATAATTGTTGGCAAATATATTGGAATATGGCTTAATTTTATATAAATTATGTTTTGCTAGACAATATTGATGAATATGGTGAAATTTAGAAAAATAAGCGAAAAGGGCTAAATTAAAAAAAATCAAAGTTCAAGGACCAAAGTGTAAATAGTCTAAAGATGACCCGAAAGAAGAAATGAAGATGTGAAAGAGTTGAAGATCAATTTAGCGAAGACATGAAGCATTGGAAGAAGAAGTGAGAAAAGAGGTCAAGAAACGAGAAAATGGAGTTCGGGAATTAGAATGCAATGAATGAATTTTTACTTGAATTATGCTATAGCATAGTTATATTCTCTATGCGGTCACATGACATGATTCAGCAAGTTCCAAGGCTGAATATCATTGAACTATGCTATAGCATGTGATTGTATTATGCTATAACATAGTACATTTCGGTAGGAAAAATTCTTGTTTCCTTATATGTTTCCAACTCTTACGGAAACATAATTTGGGACGTCTTTCAAAGATCTAGGACCATCCATAAGTAGTTTACCATGCATTACAACACATTGTAAGAGGTTTCAGAGCATAGGAGACAAGAAATACGAAGATCGATTCCAAGACTCGAAAATTCAATTCAAGATTTAATTGGATGATGTCTATTTTTCAATATTTCATTTGTTTTCTTCTTCCTAACACGCTAGGCTCTATTTCTTTGTACTAGAAGAACGATGAATCGTGTAATGTGAATTTTTAATTTTAGTTTTACATAGTTGACATTGAAGACACATTTTTGGATATTGAATGATTTATATGAATTTCTTTTATCCACAATTATTGTGCATGATAGTTGTGTGAATGTGGTGACTTATTTTATACATTCGAAAGTCAACATAAGGTTCCAATAGGGAATTGAAATATACCACCATACTCTATGTGAATCTTTAAATGTTCATAAAAAATCATGCACTCTTATATGTTCTCATCTGTCATATAAATATAGATGGGGTGATATATGAGAATAGGGTTAATGTTACTCGATAGAGATTGTTGAATAAAATAGGAACATTGATTCTTCAAAATTCAACTGTATTGTCAATATGTAGAACTAAAGTTAAAAATGATTATTACATGAGAATTCGTGATCCTAGATTGTTAGTAATTCATTAGAATACACCAACTTTCATTTAGCATAATTTGCATTTAGTTAGTTAAATTCACTAATAATTGCATAAGTAGCTTCTTTTAGATATAATTTTGTCACAAAGCAACAATCTTATTGTTCTTGATTCGGATAAGGTTGTGATAATTAAAATTGAACTAAATTAATCTCTGTGAGATGATACTTGAACTCAAATTCACTTTATTACTTGTTAACGAACTCTACATTTGCGATGGTTTAATTTGAAAGATATTTTCGTGAGCATAAATAAGTTTTCATTATATTTAGATTGAAATTGGTACCCATTAACACAAAAAGGCATGATGCAGTATTAAATGATTAGATGTCATTTCAACTAATTTTGTATTTGTTTCACATTATTACACTCGTATCTACATAAAAATGAACAAATGAATTTTTTTATTACATTTGGACACTATTGTTAATACAAAGTTTACACAATAATGACCAACACTACTGTTTAGTGAGTAAACTATAATACTAAATTGCGAATGAAGATAAGTGACCCAAAATCATATCGTTTAACTTGTGTGTTTTTTAATATGTTTCAATATATTATCAATTAATTCTGAAGTGAAGTCGAGACTTTGTAACCCAATACGACATCTTGTCATTTTAAATTGTTAAGTGCCGTTTCAACTATTTTTGTGATTGTTTCAATTTATGCTCACTTGTATCCATGTGAAAATGACCGAATGAAAGTTTTCCCTACATTTGAATATCAAAGTTGAAACAAAAGTTCATCCGATATTGATCAATAATATTGTTTCGTGAGCAAATTATACTAGACTTCACTATAAATGAAAGAAAGTAACCCAAATTCCATCATATTTCAATTAAGAGATAAAATGGTAAAATACTCAATAAATTAACTTGTATCAATCTTCTAAAATGTTCCAAGATATGATTGACTAATATTGGAGTGAAATTAAGACTGCATAATCCAAAACAGCATGCTGTCATTTTAAACTACTAGGTACTGTTTCAACTTTTTTTTGTGTTCATTTAACTTTATCTTCAGTCGCGTCCATATAGAAATGAAAGAATGTAAGTTTTCATTATATTTAGGTACTAAGATCGATAAAAAAATTCACCCGATAGTGATTAATAATATTGTTCGGTGAGTAAACTATACTAGACTTGATACTCAAAAAAATTACCTTATTTAATTTGTATAAGTCTTTTAAGATGTTCAAAAATATGATCGACTAATTTTGGAGTGAAATTGAAACTCCATGATCCACAACGACTATATGTCATTTTAACTATTTTTGTGTTTATTTCACTTTATATTCACTCATATCTATATATAAATGAACAAGTTCAATTTTTTACTATATTTGGACCCCACGGTCGATATAAAATTCACGCGATAATGATCAATACTATTGTTCTGTGAGTAAATTACACTACACTTCATTACAAAAACAAAGGGAAGTAACTCAAATTTTTTTTTTTTTATATTCCAATTATAAGATAAGATACTCAAATAGTTAACTTGTTTAACTAGTACGAGTCTTCTTAGATGTTTCAAAGTGTGATCGACTAGTTTTGAAGTGACATTGAGACCTCTGAACCTAAAACGACTTGCTTTTGTTTTAAAATGGTTAGGTGTCATTTCAGTTAACTTTTTGTCCATTTTACTTTATGTGCACTCATATCTACATGAAAATGAATGAATGCAAATTTTTAATACATTTGGATGCTACAATCAATATGAAGTTCATAGGATATTGACCGATGCTATTTTCCTGTGAGTAAACTATACTAGCCTTCATTATGAATGAAGGTAAGTAACTAAAATTTCATTATATTTCTATTATAAGATAATATACTCAACAAATTAGCTCATTTAACTTATACAAGTCTTCTAATATGTTCCAAAATATGATCGACTAATTTTAGAATAAAATCGAGACCTCGTGACACAAAACGACATGTTGTCATTTTAAATGGCTAGGTATCGTTTCAATTAATTCCTGCATGTTTAAATTTATGTGCACTAGTATTCACATAAAAATAAACGAATGCAAGTCTTCACTAAAATTGGACACCACAGTTGATATAAAGTTCATGCGGTAGTGACCAACATCATTGTTTTGTTGGCAAAGTACGCTAGACTTCATTATGAACGAAGTTAAGTAACTCATATTCCATTATATTCCAAGATAAGATAATCAACAAAATAACTTGTTTAACTTGTACAAATCTCATTAGATGTTCCAATATATGATTGACAAGTTTTGGAGCGAGACCGAGTCCACATAATAAAAAAGGCATGTTGTTTTGAATGGTTAGATATCATTTCAGTTAATTTCACGTTCATTTTACTTTATGTGCATTAGTATAGACATGAAAGTGAATGAATTTAAATTTTCATTAATTTTGGATGCCACGATGAATATAAAGTTCACACGACAGTTTTAAACGTGAAATCGGGAGCTTGCGACCCAAAACGAAGTTAGTCATTTTAAACGCATGGGCATCGTTTCTAATTATTTCGTGTTTATGTCACTTCATTTTCACTTATTAACACTTGAAAGTGTAAGAACGAGAATTTTGATTACATTTTGATGTCAAGATCCACACAAAGTTCACATGATAGTGAGTAACACTATACATTCGTTTGGAAATTACACCACACTTCACAAAAAACCAAAAACGTAGGTAACGAATAGGGGATTAAAAACATAATACATCTATTCATTCAAGAGTACAAGTCTTGTAT